TTAAAACAAAAAGCTGCCATATTTTGCATATACCACGTGGATCAGCTATTGGTGGTGCCTCTATAGACTTGTTTTTCAATCTCATGAATATAATAAAAATCACCTCTTCATTTTTGAGTCATTTTTATTCTTTTACTTTACATTAGAGAATTTTGTATTGTCATAAGCTATAAGTAAGTACCTCATCATGTATGTCACTGTATCCTTAAAATAAAACTGAAAAAGAATCTGATTAAAGGTTTTTCAAAAACTTTGATTTGTGAGAGCCGGATGTGGTAGGACATGCCTGTAATGCCAACTCTCTGGAGCTCAGGGCAGGAGCATCACAAGTTCAAGCCCAGCTTGGGTAACTTAGTGATTCAGGAAGATGCTTTCTCAAAAATTAGAAGTAGAAAAGGGTCTGACTTTGTTGTTCAGTATGTGAAAGCCCTGGGGCTTCAATCCCCAGAACAACAACAACAACAAGAACAGCAATAAAGTGAAAGCTGGTTTGTGACTCCAATTTTGAGCCAAACTTTACTCAACATTCATTTGTTAGCCTGCACTTTTTTGTACATGCCAATTTGCCTTGTTCTGGGAATTCTAGAAGGTATACAATGTAGTACATATTTCCAATGAGAAAACAGTAGTGGACACAGCTATCAGTAATAATAATAATAATAATAATAATATAATAATAATAATACAGATGTCACTGGTGCATTGTTTAGAGGGTAGAAAATAGTAAAGGAACAAGAAAGCACTTATTATGTATAATACTTCCCATTCACAGGGTTCATGTCCTTTCCATTGAAGGATACATTTGCTGAGTTAGTGAATTAATGAATGACATTTAGTTATTGAAGACTTTGACTGTGGCAGGCACTGTTCAGACTGGAGCACTAATGTTAAAAAAGACAAGAATTCCTGTTTTCATGAACAAATGAATGCAGGTACCAGGAGGAATGAGAATAGGAAAATCACATTCTTTGATCCTCCAGCCCCTTTATTCCGTAAAGGTAAGACATTAAACATGTGTAGAAAGAAGTAAAGTGAAACAAAAGGCAGCCTTGAAGAGAGCCAGAAAACAAAAGACACAAACAAACAAAGAACCAAAATGGTGACATGAGCTTTGCTGGGAGATAAAAACGGAAGCAACTGGCTTTGCTTCTAGAGTGAAGAGAGTCTGGACAGTGCGGTCTCCAGGTGGTGATCAAGGTTCCCATTTACCCAGCAAGCACAGAGCTGCAGTCTGGTTCGTCTCACTTGTTTCAGGGTAGGCTTTGCATGGCCAGTGCTTGTGAAGGGCTGTGTGCTATGTCATGTCGCTTCCCATCTACTTGCTTTACTACCCAGCTACTCAGAGCCCAGAGAAACTATTAAAGCTACCTTGAGGACGAATAGAACGTGATGGTTAAGACTGTTTAGAATGCAATTCCTCGGGCTTATATTCTGGGTACTTACTGGTTGGGTGGCATGACACAAACCATTTAAATTCTTTATGGCACCATCTGCTCCTTGATAATGTGAGAATAATAGAGAAAACACATATGTGAGAGTGGCCATTTTATTACATGCAACTTTTTATAACTATTTCTCAACCAGTTATTTCCATTAATAGTCAAAAAGAATAAAGATGAATTTTGTTTCTGCCTTGAAAACTTGGTTGTGGTGCCATAAGTAGTTGATCAGCTCTGAGGACAAGTGTTTTCAACTGGCTGTAGTTCAAATTGTATGCATTGTATAGGACATTTCCTCATCGCACTAACCTCTTCAGAGTAGCGTCTGCTTGTCCTGGATTCAGGGCTGTCTGTGGGTCTGCTGCTGAAGGAAGGAGAGGGGTGGTCTACGTCAGTACCAGAGCTTGTGACTGAAGTCTGGAAGGCTCGTGGTTGTTCTCAGGGTATTGGCTTTGCCCCATTGCTAGTTCTCTATGTGTGTCATATTTCATGTTTGAGGAGCCCAGGCTGCAGGTGTCCTACAGCATGCAATAATTATTCCCTCCTCGTGGAGCATGCTTGCCTTATCTGGCTGCTATGGAGCTGAAGTCACAAATGGCACATACTATGGATTTCTGAGCCCATGAAGATCTTAGCCAAAGCCCATATAGGTACAGGAAGTGAAAATAAGGGCCAACAAGGGGACCTTCACACTCTGTAAAGGGCATTCTCCCCCATCCCCAACATTCAATCCTGGGTCCAGAGAGTGAATGTGTAAGTCCCGCTACGCAGCACACTCCCGATGAAAAGTGGCCAGTCGTGATATTCTTAAGTTCCCCAAAATATCAAGGTAGCAATGAATGCTGTCATCCCATTTTCTATCCCCTGTGGTGGGGAGGTGGAGAGCAAGGAACCATGTGCAACCTTTAGGATTCTCTCCTCTAATGTCCCAAACCTCAATTCTGCTTTTTCCCTTGATGCAAAATAGAATTTTTGCCATTTGCCAAGACCTCCTTTGTACTAGGAATTTTTGTATTTAGAGTATATGTTTTCAGCTTCGTATTAGCATTACAACACCTTTGTTTTTGGTTGGAAGGCAGGGGTGGGTAGAAGTGGATCATGGAAGGTGGAACAGATTTTTTTCTTGATATCTTTCATGGGCATATTGCAATCTTAATCACTAAACACCCTGAATGCAATTGTAAACAGTTATCAGTTATACTGAACAATCTAGAAAACAAGTCTCTGACCTCTGGTGCCCATAATTCTCAGTCATTAGGGATACCACGTCTTTCCTTACTTTCCATAAGCTGTGAACTACACACAGCAGTGCATGTCGACATTACAAAAACAGTAATATTGTTGTCTGTGAACTACTATCAAGATGGTCAAATTTAGCTAACAAGACTCCCAGTTAAAATTAAATCTCATTGGGAGCTGGGGATTTAGCTCAGCGGCATAAGCACCTGCCCTGCAAGCAGGTGGTTGTGAGTTTGATCCCTGGTATGGATAAAAAGTTAAAGTTAAAATTAAATCTCAGATAAACAAATACTTTTTAAAGTATAAATATGTTCAATTCAGAGATGTAATGTATTTTTAGTGTGTTTCAAATATTAGGTGTACAGTCTGCATCTAATCTGACTTTCCTAAATGTCAAGGATCTGCTCTTCTCCATTGACAGAATGAAATGAATGCTTTTTTTCCCACTGTGAAGGCTACTCTCAGTTACCACTTCATACCAGTGATCTATCTGTCCTCGGTTAAGCATGTGTCTATTTTTAAAAAATGCTCAGCGGTGAGTTGGATAAGGGAGATGATGAGTCATTTACATTAGGACTCTCCTGTCTCTTCAAAGAACTAAAAGTGAGTGCCTTTTGTCTTTACAGCGAAGGGAGATAACATAGGGAAATAATGTCTGTGTTTCCATGTTTTAATCTACGTGATCCCAAAGAATGTTCATGTCTTGAAGGCTTAGTCCATACTCTGTTTACTTATGAAGGATAAATATGTTGTCCTTTGAGAGATTTCTAATATACTACTGGAGCTTTGATGCCAGAGTTCAGATTAATATTCCATCTTTTAAAGAGACCCAGTCAGAGAGGGAAACATATGTTTGCCTTTACATGCAACTATTGAGTGTACAGAATATTTATTTGAAAACATAGTTATTTATTATCACTTGATAAGCTGAATTTAGTTTATCAGCCTCAATTTAGAAAATGTGGTCTGACCTAGAAGGAGGATTACTACTCTTGGCTTTTCTGTTAACAGTGACCATCATTAATATTAGTGTATGCTATAAAATCAGTGGCTATCTATTACTCCTGAAAGCTGTGGAACCTTGAAAGGTGATAAAGGTTGTTTTCATTAGATATTAGGTTATGAGAGTTAGAGAAAAGAGAGTTAATATATTTTGAGTATCTTTGATGGATAAGGGTTCTGTGATTCACATATATTTTACTCTAAACACCATCTGGGAGAGGGTGATAGAAGTAAGTCGTTTTGCTTGAGCTTGATTCCGAAAGTGCTTTGTCTAGTTGAACTCCATTTAAAAGTTTCCACTCAGCTTTCACCTATGGTTGCTGTGTCTTTCAGGAATCAGCAAACCTTCACTTCCTAAATTTATTTCTAACTGAAAACAGAGCTGGTAATTTCTTCTATAACCAATACTTTTAACTTTCTTGATATATTTAAAAAATAATATCTGCTCAACAAAGTCAAGTTTATTTACTTTGGGACATTCATCCAACCTCTCATGTTTTACACAGTTAACTCATATTTAATAGAATTTGAAGAAACCAACCTCCAACTTAAGTGAAAATGTCATGAGGACAACATTTTTGCTTTTATGTAAATATTTTTAGATGTGAAACTTTATGTGCTTTTGAAGCAATTTGTTTAATTAATAGATAAAAGTTTGCAATGAAATCTATGTATTGAGCTGTCATTTGCCTTCCAGTAACAAATCCTAATTCTGCCTCTGTGGAAATATAAATAACTTAATATCCATGTGGACCCATATGTCATGCTGGTAAAATGTCTGAATTTTTAGTAATTTTGTATTGTGAAACTTTTAAGAATGGAAAATGATACTGAAGTGTTTTGAATCATATTTACATAGGAAAATATAAGAAGGATAGTAAAACAGAAATGCATTGCAGGAATGTATTATGTATATGTATATTTATATATATTAAATATATATATATATTATTCACCTCTCTCTCTTTCTCTCTAAATATTTACATATATATGTATATATTTAAGGAATTTATATTTGTAGTAAGGAATTTATAAAAATTTAAGAAATTTTATATTTATATTTATATTTATGTAAGAAACCAAGTACCTCTATTCACTTTTCTCATCCACATTGTCCTGGTGACATGTAAGGAAATAGACTAAATAATTATTCTATATTATGTTGGGTTTTAAGTATGCTGGATCTGGCATTTGGATATTTTTTCCCTTCATAAAGATTCTATTTTATATCCAAGGGTTTCCTTTGTAAGACAAAGCATGTCTAATATGTTATAAATTCACCTGATTTTGTAATCACGGTCTGACTCTCCCATTCCACAGATTATCTTCAGAAAAATCAGTGATGTGAAAAAGGAGGAGGAGGAGCGCCTTAGGCAAAAGAACGAGGTGACTCTCAGCATCCCCGTGGACCACCCAGTCCGAAAACTCTTCCAGAAGTTTAAGCAGCAGAAGGAGCTTCGAAATCAGGGCTCAATGCAAAGTGACCCCGACAGGAACCAGCTCCAGGTAGAAAGTCGCTCCTTACAGAATGGAGCGTCCATCACTGGCACCAGTGTGGTGACCGTGTCCCAGATTACTCCTATTCAGACGTCTCTGGCCTATGTGAAAACCAGTGAATCCCTCAAGCAAAACAACCGCAATGCCATGGAACTCAAGCCCAATGGCGGTGCTGACCAGAAATGTCTCAAAGTCAACAGCCCCATAAGAATGAAAAATGGAAATGGGAAAGGTTGGCTGCGGCTCAAGAACAACATGGGAGCCCATGAGGAGAAAAAAGAAGACTGGAATAATGTCACCAAAGCTGAGTCCATGGGGCTCTTGTCAGAAGACCCCAAGGGCAGTGACTCAGAGAACAGTGTGACCAAAAACCCGCTAAGGAAAACGGATTCTTGTGACAGTGGAATTACAAAAAGTGACCTTCGTTTGGATAAGGCTGGGGAGACCCGGAGTCCACTAGAGCACAGTCCCGTTCAAGCTGATGCCAAGCACCCCTTTTATCCCATCCCCGAGCAGGCCTTACAGACCACACTGCAGGAAGTCAAACACGAACTCAAGGAGGACATTCAGCTGCTCAGCTGCAGAATGACTGCCCTTGAAAAGCAGGTGGCAGAAATTTTAAAAATACTGTCAGAAAAAAGCTCCCCCCAGGCCTCACCTCCCAAATCCCAAATGCCACTCCAAGTACCTCCCCAAATACCATGTCAAGATATTTTTAGTGTCTCAAGGCCTGAGTCTCCTGAATCTGATAAAGATGAAATCCACTTTTAATATGTATACATATATATTTGTTAATATATTTACAGCAGTATATACATCTATATACATACGTGTGTATATATAGTATATACATATATATTTTCACTTGCTTTCAATATGATGAACACACTATGGGTTTTGATATGTACATATTGCATGTCCAGCTGGATTCTGGCCTGCCAAAGAAGATGATTATTGAAAACATAGATATTGCTTGTATATTATGCAGTTGACTGCATGCACACACTTTACATTTATTTATAAACTCTCTTGTATAATAAGAAAGTACAATTTTTATTAACTGAGGCAATGTAATATTTGAAGAATCAGGGTCCAACCTGCCAATGTTGCCATGACAAATTTGATCTCAGGCTCAGTATATCAAGCTGTCATTTCTTCACTCGTCTGTTAAGTTAAAATTATAGATTAATGCCAAGGAAGAGTTCAACTTTTTAAGCTCTTACTACCATTTTCTGATCTCTTTCCATAGGATATTTTTCTGTAACTTAAGGTTAGGTTATTTTCCCCTGCAGGCAATGTTTGCTCCATTTAAATGACTTTTGTTGCCTACATCAGATAGCAGTGTGGGATATTGAGAACTTATTGCTATGGGGTTTGTGCATGACTTGCATTTTCACTCAACTATACCTCTCCTTTCTTGACATTATACCTAGATAGTAATCATTAGTTCTGAGGTAAGGAAATACCAACTTTCCCTGTCTTGGAGAATAGCTGCCATCTTGTCAGCTGTCATTATCAATACCATAAATATTCAACTCTTGATATAGTGTATAATATTATAGAAATACTGCACCACAGGGTACAAGGGCCTTTTACCAATTCGTGTTTGAGATGCCAATTATCCAAAGGTGAACAGTGTTCTTCTACACGTGTATTTCCAAAACTTGTTCAAGAGTGAATTAAAGGCTCTTAACAAAGAAACACATACAAAAATTTTAAATTATCATATCAAAATTTTTACTGTTATAATACAGAATTTTTTAACAAGAATGTAAACAGGCATGTTTTGTAGCATATCTGCAATTTAAAAAGAGTGAAAAGGGAGGCACAGAATTGTTGGCGCGTGATTCACATTGTCTGTAGAGATGACACGTGAATCGTAACAAACCAGCCAACCAAGAAGTAGAGGTTAAGTTGCTTGACTCGGATACTTATCTTTCCATGATTTCATTCTGGTTACCATTTTCTAAAGCTTATTTTGCACAGAGCTGTACTGCCGAACTTCTGCTGAGTTGGTTCAATAGACCACTGTGGCTCAGGCAGATCCACTTATGAAAGGGTAAGTCAAGAGTGAGTTTCAGAATCTTTTGGGTTACAAATCTTCTTCTTAGAAAGTGCCTATTATCAATGAAGAGAAGTCACAAAGAATTGTGTTGTCTGTTACTAGTCCCTTCAATCATGTGTATGAGAATGAATAAAACATACATTCATTTCTAAAAACAGGAGACTTGACTAAAGTATATTTTGTGAAGTTTTTCAGAAAGGCATACTTTCAAATGGTGCATCAATGACATTGAATATTAGAAGAGGAGGAGTCAGTGTTTGTATTAAGTTTAAAGCATGTACCAATACTTTGTATTTATTGGACCATCTGTACATATACATTAACATACAAAAGAACGTGGCAAAATCAAATGGTCTATTATACTCATTTTTATGAGCTTTTCTGTCTTGCAGTATATCCAACCAAACTCATCAGAATTGAAAGATGGGTTGTCATAATCAGACTGGAGAAGTACAAAACGGTACTTTATTGTATTTTAAAATTTCTTCACATGCCTCGAAAATGTGCCTCTCTAGGAATCTAGGAATGTAGTGTGTACTATAGATTTCATTTTTCCTTTTCTTGTACACATATCTTTCCTTATCCATAATGGAACTTTGCAGATGACCATGTCTTCATGCTATGCTATAATATCTACCTATTATAGATATAAGAAAATGAAATAACTGTGGTCTCTAAAGTAATTATGGAAGTCAGTCTTAAAATTGGAGGACCTTTTTCATAGTGAGGATGGGAGCTTTTTCTTTGTTGCATTTCAGAGCATATTGCTATTTGTATAAATTGAGTTTGGCTAAGGCTTTTAAAGGGGAATAAATGGTAAAACATAATGTGAGTATAGAAATTGTTAGGTTAACTTTAATCATGTACGTCAAAGGTAATTGTGTAAAGCTATATTGAGAATGACTGTGAAGTAGTGGGCTGGTTTGAGGGTACAGTTTATACCTCTGCATAGGAAGGCAAAAATTTGCTGTATGTGTTAAGGAACTTGATGGTTTTGAACTGTGCTGGGCTGTCAATAAGCAGGGGGAGGGAGGCTCATTGTTTATTTATCACATAGTTACCACACTATTCTTTTGCAGACACCTCTGCTGTCTGTATGCATGACAGGATGTAGTCCTGAATGCAGGCTGCTCTTCTCAGCAGAGATACACACATTCAGCAAACACTGTACATACAATCGGCTTTTAGGTTCCCAGATTTTACAGTTCTTCTCAGTAGAATTCTTACTCAGATTTGGATGAAGGGTAAACACTTGTTTTAATACATGCAATCATGACCCCGTGGTGTTCTGTGTTTCAACGTGTGCATTGTGGAGGCTCTTTGGGGGACCAGATGACTGCATGTTTTATTCATACACTATACAGTTGCTCTGGGTTAATCCGGAGCACAATTTTTACTATTATACTGCTGAATTGTGTACTAATAGGAATAAATGGATATATGTATTTAAAATCCAAACATTTTCCAAAGCAACATGCACATGGTCAGTATGTTTCTATGCTACTGTTAGAATACAAGATCAGATGCTATATCCTAGACAGGCGATTGTAACATAAGAGCAAAAGCCAAATAGAAATGTGAGCTGTGTGTCACAATAGTGAGTTCTATCAGTCTATATCAGGACACTAAACATAATCTAGTAGATGGAAAAGCTTGTGATTAATGGCAAATAGAAATACAAAAAGTAGACGACAATGCCAGAGTTCCTGGTGGCCCACATTAGCATAGATGATACTTAAAATGGTTCAGTCACAGTGGTTGAATGCAGACTCACACTTCACAATTAAACTGAAAATTTCTATTGCGACACTGACACTATCTCACATTGTCTTAAGCATTAGAAGAAGAAAAACCCCACAGCTTTATGAAGATCAGAAGACAGATAATTTGACAATTTGGAGTTTTAAGTTGCTGCTAGGACAACTACTTGATCCTGTAGTATTCAGCACTTTAATGGGAATATTAATTATGATAACTAACTAAAATGACATTTCAAAAATCAATGCGATTGGAGCCTGGATGCAAACCACATGTTCTCTTAAATTTAAGATTTGTTCACACATGAGGTCTGATCTGTTTGATGTTCTATTTTGAATAACCACATTGTTTTAGAAAATGTTTTTGTAAATTAATCTACAGAGAAGTGATTGTTTTGAAGTGTGCAGTGGCTGATATTTGTGAAATTATTTGTCCTAATTCTAGTGAATTCTTCTATCTTACATCATTTTTATCTTCTACTCTGTTTTCTCTGAATTTGTTTTCCAAAATTTCATGTAGGTAAATTTGCCTAAAATATATGTGTCATACCTGGATAATTTGAAATTATTAGTACTTTGTAATTATGTGAATGTTGTACTTTAATATTTGTTTATTAGATGTGAGTATTTTTATTGTGGTTTTTTACGGAAAGCAGGTGAAGAAATTTTGTTTTATTTTTTAAATGTATTTAAGTTCCGTCTCAAATCTTGAATATACTTTTCTCACAATCTAGCAGAGTAATTTAGGACAGATTAACTTGTCAATGTTTCAGTATACTCACCAATAAATATTGAAATAAAGATCAGAACTGACCCTTCTTATAATCAAGACATTATTAGGTCAATGGAAAGTCATTTTTCTTTCAGATGAAAAACGCAGTAAGACAAATTAGCTTTTTTCTCTCTGTCTCTCTCTTCCTGTCCCTTGGCCCTCCTTCCCTTCTTTCTTTCTTTCTTTCTTTCTTTCTTTCTTTCTTTCTTTCTTTCTTTCTTTCTTTCTGTTTCCTAGTATATCAGCTTCGATGTGCACTCTATCTAAGTAGTCTAGGTTTTATAGAAAAGCTTCTGGCCAGAGATTGTTGACAAAAAGCATAGGCTCTGTAATTATTAGTCAGTTGTATGTGAGTATAAGACTCATCAATTACCTGGAAATTCAGAAATACTAACCAAATAAATGGGAAATTAAGAGCTTTTGAGAGCAGGAAGAATAACAGACAAAGCTAAACCTTATAGCTTTTGTAGTCCACTTACACACACTATTAAGTAGTTATTTTTGACTTTGTGAGTAAAAGTGTGCAAATTATAAATTTGAGGTATGATGTATCTTTTAACTTCTTATATAAATATAATTATGATACATGATCCATATGGATCAATGTTCTTAGAATCGTTAACTATGGAAGAATCCTTTTTGATGCCCGATAAATTTTCAATGTGTATTTCAAACTAAAACAATAATAAAATTGGGTGCATGAAGGAAAACCATTTGAAGGGCATTGAAAATCACTCACGATTTTGTTCTAAGTGACTGTTTTAGAAAATTATATAATTATTGACTTTGGTTGTTTAAATGAGCACCTATAACATGTTTTCCATTTCGAAAACAAGATGTATTCTGTTTGTTCATTCATGTTAGTTTTTTCATCCTAAGAGATACACTCAAACTATTATCACTACATTTGTTTATGACCCTTTGGGAAGAGAGCAAGAGCACACAGAAACAAAAGCGAAAAATTTGCATAATAGGATATTTACATTTAGAAATCACATTGAGTTTTGCTAATCTTTTTATCAAACTATAGTTGAAAAATGTTTACTACTAATTAAGAATTAAATATGTTTTGAAAGTGCAAATAATTGCCCAAGTTGAAAAAGAATTAGTTTTAAATGCCTTATATTTTTGTGAAATAGAGTAAGGGGGCTTAGAGGACTGCTCCTCACTGACTGCGACTTTTTACTATACACTGTAATCCTTTCTATTTATTTGCTAAATGACCTGTAACATTTATATTGTTATCCACCCTGGAAGGCTGCTGGCATTACAACTCACAGTTGCTCTACATATGTATTCTACACATATGTAAATAAATAATAGAAATCAACTTTCTCTCCGTGTAAACTTTGTGCTTATAGCCTAAATGTTTTTAGCAGCTTGTACAGGAAAAACTTATGACCATGATGGGACATTTATTTTTTTAGAGAACTGAGAAAGATTAATTTGACAGTATAGAAAATATGTCTTATCTTGTTCTGGGAAAATGATCTGACAGACAAAATCTACGGAGCTGCACACTCGGGATGTAAATCAATATTCGGGTTTTAAATAGATTACCAATGCCAGGCTATATGGACTCATGGGTTTCCAAATTATAATTCCTTGTTTGAGACAAGTCTGCAAAGCCTAGTGGAGGTTAAAATTTGATATTTGTGGTTTTATGCCTGGCCTTTGACAGTGTTTATGTATGCAACCAAGTCTGTTCTGGTGCATTCAGAGAGATTTTTAAAAGTTGTTTTACACTGGCTTTAATGTTGCACAGTGCTTTATGTTACTTCTATAGACTGTTCTGTTTAAGTGTGCACACCATGCTCTGTGAGAAGAGTTAGTTAAGTTTGAATTTGCTGTTAGCTGTAAAAAATTTGTGAATGCATAATAATAATGGGGCATTCGAACATTTGAATATCAAAATAAGATCCTGACATCCCCATTTCTTTAGATGCAGCATATTTTCCTCACTGGCACAGTTTTGTGCAAAAGGAAAGGACAAATTCATATGTATTTTACAAGTGTTAGAATCTTTAAATAATTGAATAAGTATGAATTACTAAAAATGTAACCTTAGGACTTGAAAAGGAAATTCAATGTATATATGTTGCATAATTGTTTAGTATCAATTTGTATTACATTTAAGTAAAAGAGTTCTTATGTGAGAGGCTTTTAGTCCCTATATTGTGAAAAAGACAGTTTTATCAGTGAATTTACATAACCACCCTTATTAAAAGAGGTGCACAGTCGGGCTTTCCATACCTCTTCTTTGAAATTTAGATCTTCAGTGTTTTCTCCACCTTTATTTACTTTCAAGGATTAATGACCAATAAGTTTAATATTAATTGGTATTTGTATTTTTTCTAGTATTTGCCATCCACCTTTTGTTCTATTTAAATAATACATTGATTTTCCTCAAATTTACAGCTTCTCTTATCTCACAGATGTTGCCAATATTTCTCATTTAAAATATTTCCAGAATTACTGGAAGCTAAAAGCAATGAATTTGTTTTAATTATTTTCTGAAAGTATGAGTTTGTTTAACATTTAAAAAGTAAATGTACTTTTCTTAATATTAAAACAGATTTTCTTTAAATTTCAGTTGTTTTAACATTTTTCCTTAAATTACTGAAACAAAGAGACTCAAAATGGTTTTTCCATGCTTCTAGATTCATTTCTACCTTAGAAATAATGACAATTAATATTTATGAAATTCTCAATTGTGATCTTCATTTTTCCATTGTATTTATATATAAGTTTAAATTATAGCTTCTATAATTTTGAAAATATATGATATTTCAAAGATTACAGTGAAAATCAATTTGGAGCCATAAAGTCTTTGAGGATGAGAAGTGCTAAAAAAACCTCAACATCCTTTATTAGCAATGTAATTTATTGAATGATGAGACCTAATTATATCCAATGAATCAATTTGTGAAATAGTGCCCATGTTAATTATTATTAATAACTTTAATCTTCAAATCATTTTATGCAAAATAATTGATTCTCAGCCATCTGGTGAGGGCAGAGAATGCTTTTCACTCAAGTCCAAAGGCTGTTGAGACTCTGTGGTGCTCTCCCCCTGTATCCACATTGACTTTCTCCAGCTCTCAAAACACTTGGAAAGACACACAACACAAGGCATCTTTTTCTATATACTGTGCAACAGCTAATTTTTTCATTATTTATTGGTATTGATTAAGTTGCATGGTGGATTTTGAAAAATTAAGTAAAGAGAAAACAGATGAATATATGTGTTGTCATACTTGTTTACGTGCTGCTAGAATTTTAATTGATCATACAGTCTGTCATAGTTATTTTCTTGTTGCTTAGACAAAAACTTGATGCCAAAAGTTAAGGGAAGAAACGTTTATTTGGCTCATAGTTTGTAGAGTTTTCAGTCCATAGTCGACTGGCAAGACAGAATGGCATGCAGACAAGCATTGCAGAGGAGAAACAGTTTATGGCTGGCAGAAGTTAGCAAAGTAACCAGAGGGCCACCACAGCTCTTTCTATCCCTATATCTTATCCAGGCTACATAGGGCAGGTAGCACTGAAGCCTTAGTTCTATTGCCCTTGTTCTAGCATTGCACCAAAAATCAATCCTACCATCACTCTAGATCCGGCCACGTCTGAAAAAGTTTTACCTATGACTGGATGAGGCTTTGGGGGACATCTAGGCACAAACCATAACACTGTCTGATTAAAATTCTGAGTAGTGTTATGTAGGGAAGAGGAACATGAACTAAAATGTCTTAATGCCCACTACATGTCCCATATCAAGGTTTTCTCTTGATTTTTAAAATCAGACCTACATCTCTGCATGCTTTGTGAGGTTGAAGCACACAGCGTGTTTGAACTGGGAGCCAGGAACATTGCTGTGGACAAGGGCTGAGAGAAGACTGAGAAGACCATATGCTTCTTTACTCCTAGGCTTAGAATTAAAATTAAGGTTACTTAAGCCCATATTTACTCAGTGGTTAGTATATTAAGCACTTTATGTATATTATCAAATTTGATTTTCATAACAGACCTATGAAGAAATAGTTAAGGAACTTGTCCAGCATAACAATACTAACTGATAACTACTAAGTGGTAAAGCTGAGAGTCCAACTGAGGCAGTCAGACTTTACAAAGAAAGCATTTATTCATAGAATACTGCTATTGTAAAGAAAATCTCACTCAAACATGAATTTTACATCTCTTAAGACAATGCACCTTTAAAGCCTCGTTAAGTCAAAATAAAGTTTAAAACACTCATACTCACTAACTTAAATGTTCATTTTTTAATGGTAGAAATAGTAACAGTTATAAGTAAAAGGAGCTCAGTTCAACAATGGTATTTTCCTTTACATGTAATAGTTAAAAGGTAGAATTGGAGGTAAATTACCAAATGCAATTATAAGAAGCCAATTTGACAATCACTGGTTTTCCTTCCAGTTAAATTTTAATGTAAAGAGGTAGTGCATCATCATTATGGAAAGCAAAAAGATGTTTAGAATTTTTTCTGTAGTTTATTTTATTTTAATATTAAAATTTGGATGAGACTCCAGAAAGCCTTTATATTTCATTTTGTTTTTGACTCACTGAGTTTTAAGTAAATTATTCAGGTCTTTTTATTGATTATACAGATGTTGACATCTTGGCCAAAGTACTATTAAATGCATTATCCAAATGAACTTTTTCTGTTTAGAATGATGATTTGGTTCTTATTTCCAAATTTAATGAATTTGCTTTATATATATATTTGCTTTAGAGAGATTAATTCTTTCTAATGGGAAAAATATTAATTCTTAAGATGTGATTTACTTGGTTTACCTTTGAGCTGTATAAAGCAAATGTCTTGAGATAATGAATGAAAAAGAAGTAAAGAAGGAAGAAAAAGCAAGAAAGAAAAAAAAAATAAAGGCTAGAAACAACACATTACCACATTACACTCTGGGCTTTTCATTTGGAACTATCTTGTTTTTACTTTATTGATAGCAGAGTCACAGGTAACCATGAAAAGGAGCGACCTACTTTCTTAGAAATAACTGTGAGCGATCTTGGGTGACACTATCTAAAGCTTTTAATGGGTACTTTCTGTTCCATTCTGTGATTCCACATTATCACTGCATTCTTACTTAAATGAGGTCATGACTTGGGCTAATTACTAAAGCATTTGGCCAAAGAACAATTGACTAAGATTGTAGCCTATGGCCAGAGTTATAACGGAGGGACAGGCAGAAAAGGGAAGCTATAGTACTTACCGGGTTTTCTGTGTGCGCTTTCCTTTGCATAGTTTTTGCTTGCTCCTCTATGATAATATATTGTGCTCACCATGGCTAAAATTTTAATGAAGTATAAAGAAGCAGTTTGAAATCTTGTCTTGAAATAAGTGAGTGTTGCCCTGCCAACAAAAGTGAGGACTTCTATCTAGCTCTGACCCAGAATCCCAGGTCCCTAAGCACGCAGTGGGTGGAGCTGTACCTTGAGTGAGTGAAGTCAAGAGGATCTGAGCACTTTCTCATTTATTAATTACTGACTGTTGACTGAACAGTCAAGACCAAAGTATCCACCTTGATGCCTGAATAAACCAGATTGGATATTCATGACAACTGATTTCAGCAATTCCTTGTCAAATGTTTTTATACTAATTCTCAACTAAATCTCTGATACTATAAAATTTAACCACTTCTTTCTGTGGTCAGACTTTCTGTTATGTTAGGAATTTAAATTTTGTGATAAAAGAAACATAAACATTATTTTTGATGACATAACTGATGTTGTCATGGATTCCTCATCTGCTCCTTAACATTTCTAACCGAAATGTGTGGAAGAGATTACTGCTGAGGCCAAGACGGAACAAACAGGAAAAGTACCTCCCTGGAAAACTATGCAAAATCACATTCATTTTGAATTCCATGTCAGGAAAACTTTGGTAGATGTGCAACTTTAATGTGGGCATTTTAGGTCACAGTTGTGAATTGTTAACATACACCAAATCCAAATGTATTTTCATTTTAAAATTAAGATTAACATTTTTCATCGTTAGAAGAATTAGTGACAAGCTGCTTTTTTACCCCTGTAGGTATGTTTTCATGTTGTGATTCTCACAATCGTCTATCAGATTTTAGGGATGATATCTGCTTACATTTCCCTGTGATTGGGTTCCCAAACACCACCACTAAGCAGTTACTTCCTACCTGAGAACCTACTCACAGCAGAGGGAGCTGGGAACACACAGTAACATGAACAGATTTCTCAAATGACATAACATTGAAATTGGAAAACAATTAGAATCATTTCTACTCTGAAACATCCATTGGGGTTTATTGAAAGAACAGTAATTTCTAGAAGTGCTTAGTCCTCAGACAACACAAGCTAAAATGTGCATATTTGTGATATATTAAAAGCTGTAGACTTATTTTTTATCCTATGTTCTAGTGACTTTGTTTACACTACTTGCATCATTTTGTATACTAAAATGTAAATTCCTGTCTATAATGCTGATGTTACTATGGTAATTTATTTTTTTGCAAATTCTTAAATGTTTTTGCCACTGCAACTCTGTTTGTGAGAATTTGAAGGTAATACAAATGCCAGACCTTTATGAGTTAATTTAGAAATAGAAATATTTGATTCATGTATTGACCAAGGAAATAGTGCTAAAATTTCACGTGAAGTATTTTTAATACTCTTGAGCTAAGTAGTTGTCTGTAATATTTGAAATCCTGATTCACGCTAAGCAGTGCATTTTTTTGTATTTACACCAAGATATTGCAACACGTAATATAGAAAGTTTGTGTGTATTGTTGAATTATCACTTGATTGCCAAGAGGCTGTGTGGAGATATTTTAAATTTGTGATTTTAGGGTTAATTCTGGAATACTTGTGATCAACATTCAGTTGCAGCTGGGAAGCTTATGGTGATTGTCACTTAAAGTTTTTTCTGAAGTAATAGTGATTTTGAAATGTGAATTGACAGGTGAAGTTTTTAACCCAAAGGAATTCTGGGTTTCAGCACAATAAACTGTATTTCATCAGGGAGGATTAACTTTGCTTTTTTTTCACACTTTATTTAAATGTGGATATTTTTTCATAATTCTGAATAAAATGTGCATTTTATGGAACTTGCTTGAATTGGGTCTTTGTTGGAAATCGCCACTTTTAATTTGAGTAAGTAAATGAAAAACTTCCCAACACAACAATACAAAGAAATGGGTTTAGGGAAAAGTCTTTAAATTAGTAGCTTTGTTAATGTTATTTTTAAACGTTCACATTTTTCCTCTGATTAATTGTATGGATATGGAATAAGAAAAAAAAATAGTGTCATTTCTGAAGTTAAAATTTTAAGCACCAGAAATAAACTTACTTAATTTAGAAGGTTTCTCTACCATAGAGATGGTGATTAGATCTAAATTAAATTTTGGAGAAATTTTTATTTTAAAGGGGAATTTCTTACAATGTTTCTCAATCTTATCAACTTATAAAACATTCTTGAAGTACTGTCATTATGAGGTTATTTCAAAGTATACAAGAAATGAAATAATACTTCTCATCTAAAAAGTAGCTGATTTTCTCAATAAGTCTTTTTTCTAAAAAGCAAATGCTGAATAATTTAGAAAGATTATAACATAAAAAATATCTTATTTTTCCTAATTCAGGAAGCATGAATTTAAATGGATATCTCTGCAATTAATCATATTTCTTTAGTTTTTCCTCCAAAATTATATTTTGGTTATGTGACAGGAAAATAAACGTTTGTCCTTGCTATGGAAGCATTAGTAAAGGATTCTAGATGCAGCTGTCAATATACATGGATCAGTAATATGATAATTACTCATAACTAAATAGATCATCACAATTCAGGGCTACTTTCTCTACAAAGTGAGAGTGACTAAATACTGTAACTTTTTCTCTTTATACAAACACACACACACACACACACAGAGAGAGAGAGAGAGAGAGAGAGAGAGAGAGAGAGAGAGAGAGAGAGAGAGAGAGTTAGTTTACTCCTGGGAGTGCAGATGAAGAAAACACATTTTGATCTTCTCACCCTCCACATTGTAGACAGTATGCTTCTGTTCCCAACAAGTAAGAAAGTCTTTGCTTTGTAATATAAACACCAGTTTTTTTGTACTGTCATATACATTTTGTTTAATTTAGGCATACAAATACAGTATGCTTTAATTTGATTAAATAAGAATATTCTTTACTTGAGCAACCCAGAATCAGCTTTTACAGCTAAACGGACATTGAAAAAAAGAGTCAGCACCACATCTACTTGGAGAAATAAAAGAAAAGCAAGAAGTGGAGAGAGTAAATGACAATCCAGTTATAGGCATAATTAGCAGAGGAACAGATATTCAAATTCAGTTTATGTTGACACTGTCCAATGCTTTTGAACACTAAAAGAATGCCATCAGGTTTTCCACAGTGTAAAATACACATGCATGCATTCGTGCACACACACACATGCATACACTTCAGCTAATGCTACTTAAATGTTGCTGCTAGTCTTATGATTTGCTGAAAGGATAGTTCTAAATTAATATTCTTATCTCACGAAAGCTGTGCTCTCTTTGATATCAAGATTGCTATTTGACATCCAATACCCATCAAGTTGTTCTATTTGGAAACACTGAATAATGGGCTGTGTTCAAGTCACGGAGAAAAGATTGGGTTCTGGCTGCCCTGATCCCTATTGAGCAAAAGTTGGAATGTCTGGGTTTCTTGTCATGTGAGTGCAACAAACATAGCTGTCTGTTTTGCTTAATTCTGCTGTCCTCTAGAGCCCACATTTAATTCTTTCTGTGTGTGAGTGAGTATTGAGAGATGGCATTCTCCTTGATTCTTAAAATCTCCTAAGACTTTTCATGAAGAAGAAATGGGTATTTGTGTTTACAGTTTAGAAATAAGTGTTTAGTATGGTCAGTGGCTGGTGGGGAAGTGCTAGTATCTGGTCATTTGAATCATTTACTCTCTCATATGCTAGTATTTTAGGAATGCCACACTGATCAAATTCAGCTGTGTGCAAAGAGCAGACCTTAGAAAATATGGACATTCTAGGCCACCAACAGCATGATTCTTTTGAAATTGCTCACCCCTAGTGCTTTTTGAGCTATTCATTGATGGAGAGGCATGCTGGCAACAATAACTGAGATTTAGGGACAATGTTAGCTTTCTTCTGCCTGCTTTAAAATTCCATGTTCTCTATTTTTAACACCTGATATGGGTTAGATCCACAGTGTGCTGTCAGGAGGTAGGCCCTAAGGTTCTGGACCTGGCGGGATGTGGTTCTGGTCCTGGCAGGTCCTGGTAGGATGTGGTTCACTGGAGCTGTGACCTCAAAGGGTATGCTCCTGACTCCAGCTCCTTCCTTCTCCCTGTCTCTTTGCTTCCTAGCTGTCAGGGCTTTAGTAGCTTCCCTCTGCCATATTGTTTCCGTTTTGGACCCAGCCAAGCAAGCACTGAATCCACTAAAATTGTGACCCAACATACGCCTCTCTAAATTGAAGGTGTTGGATATTTTGTCCCAGTGATTGGAAAGTAGCTGATATAATACCCTGCCCCAAATCTCAGGCACTAGAGAATGAAGGAAAGACAGATTTTCCGAATCCCGGGCGTCTCACTGCTGCAAGCTTATTCTCTTTCCTCCTCTCTGTACTTTTCCACTATGCTGTCAGCAGGAGCAGCAGAAGAAATACTCAGCAGGTACTGCGGGGCTGCTAGCTTTGTGGCTCCCTGCCTGACAGAGGAGACAAAGGAAGACTAACGTAAGTTATCCAACAATCAACATAACCTTCTGACAGGAGTGGAGGGGAACAGTTTTGCCTTTCAGGACATCAGCAGCAAATAAAACATTTCTATGCTTGTGCTCCTGCCAGGAGCCTTTCTCCTTGCCTTTTCTCTGCAAGTGGCCATTTTATTGTGTAACGTGAAATAGGTTAGGGACAGATCAAGTGAGGTAACAGCAGTGAGAGTGCTTTGAAAAATATGATGGTTTATATACAAAGCTTGATATTCTGTTTGTCATTGATTTGCACAGTAGTCAAGAGTTGATTATGAAACTTATTGAGAAGGGGCCATAAATATTAATAACATTCACTGACACCCAGCTCCTAGTAAAGTTACAAATTTTCTTACCTAAATATGCAGAGAAAATTGGACAAGTTCAAAAATTGTTCAGGCATAAAAACCTGAGTACTTTTCCTTTTCTGTCAACAAAAAGGGCAAACACAAACACCACACACCCTCTCCTTCTCAACCGCACCCCAGGAAATATTTTTTTAAAAAAATCCTCTTAATATATGAGTTATAAAAAAACGTAGCTCTAATTTCACTAATCTCCAAGTGAAATGAAAATCCTCCAGAAAGCAGTCCATTTGACTTTTTCACTTTAAGAGGTACCTGTATCAATCTGGTACACAGACTTGAATTTGGATATTGTCTGAATTTGCCCTGGTTAAAATACAAACAAATCCAATAATTTCTGAAAGTTCATCCTACAGCTTTAACTAGATCACTAGATGCTTACTTAGGACACTCACCTGAACTATTTAGGTACAAGTAATAACATAATCTCAGAGTTGGCAATTTGAAGTACTTGTCCCTAGTAGAAAGCAAAGATTATACTTTAATACCTACAACTTCCTGAGAAATGCTTCCCTTTGATACCCTGATCAGGTATCTGTAACTTTCCCAGAACTGTGTCTGTCATGGTTTTTGTTGTTGTTGTTGTTATTTTATTGAATTGACTTTGATGTAGAAACAAGATTCTGTTTTGTGTATTTATGGATGGTTGGTTAGATGGATGGATAGGTAAATAGGTGAGTCCTGGATACTTTTAGCACTCCATCAAGTGCCATGTGTGCTCCCATATAATGTTCTGGTTGATGTATAGTCTTTTATAACCTCCCACAACTAGAAAGTGTCAGAAAAAGTTTTCCATTTCAGATTTCTGATTCCCACTGTGGTGTGATTCTCAAACCTTTACTAGATACCTAGTATTTAATGTCAGGACTCATAGGAATAAATTAAATGTTAAAATTATTTTTGGGTGTGCTATTTAGTGGTGCCCAGAAAATTATCTGAATATGAATTTCAGGATTTGGCCTTGTGCTGAGGTTCCCATGGTGGAGAGATGCAAAGCAGACCTCAGTGTATGATCACAGATAGAAGATTTCAATCCACAGAATCACCTTGATTTTATTATTGCTCAATGATCTATGCAGAAAACCCCACAAAAGCACTGAGATTAGTTGTGTCACTCTGGTAGTGTGAACACAAGAGTCTGAAAGGAAATTATTCTGTTTTCTTCTTCTTTCAAGTTTCCTTATTGTGTTCAGAAACATGCACTATAGCCAGCACGGTTATCACAAATACAAGTTTTTAAAGAGATAATTAAAATGCACTTCTGTTTTGAAAAGCATGAACACAGCAAACGCAAGCAGGAAAGGTATATCTATTCCTCAGTTTTCTCTTTGCATTCAAGATAAATGAGACATCAAAAACACTTCAGGCTCCCTGAGAATGTGTACTACATGGCCTCAAGTTTTATGTGCTGGCTTAGTATTGGTGCCTTACTGGACCCCAAAGACTTAACTATACATTCCCCTGGTTTTGCCAGATGTGACTCTTTCCACAAATAGACTAGGAAGAGGCTCCCTGCTTGACTAGTTCGTCTATCAGCTGGACCAGCCGAACTCCATCAGTCCTCAGTCTAACCAGGATCCTTTTCTTTGCTAGCCCTCAAGTTTACTCCCTGAAGCTGATCACATCCACTGTGGGTTCCAGAGTCAGTACAAAGCTCAGTGTAACAAACACGTGCTGTCTCACCTGTCCACCATTATCTGTTGTGCTCAACCATCCAGTACTATTTAAGGTGAGGGATCTCTCCCCCACATTGACATGAATACACAACAACTAGAACAGAATGTTCATTTCTCGAAGGGGATTTTAATGTTCATCAAACAACAATAGTCATAAAAAGTTAGCTCATTCTGCCCCTTCTCTCTTCGATGGTTTGATTAATTGTTGGTCTCTGTATAAAGGAGGCTCTCTTCAAACATAGTAATAAACTCTGTGTGTGATTTAGATTTTTGTCTTGTCACATGTTGCTGTGAGATGA